AGTAACCGCTTCAAAGCGGAGACAGTCTCCCAATTTGCTTTCCATTTATTTTGGAACATCATCAATGTGTTTTTTGAGCACAATTGAGATCATGCTACTTTCATGAATTTTTCAAGCAATAGAAAAAAGCAGCTCTTTGGTTTGACGATCGTTGTTGATAATTTAGGAATGTATATGTGCCTGCACGGTGGAATAGGTGTATGTGCACAAATAGGAATGGAGAATCAAATTGAATGCCTTATACTTCTGTGCACAAGGAGCTGTTCATATAATAACATTTAAGAGCTTGAGAGGCATAGTCTACCAGTCAACGTCAACAAGTTGCACAGTAAACACGATTTTAATGTCAATGCATGATCTTGCAATTGAAAAATCACAGCCATCAAAATCATAAAAACCTTCACATCTTTGCAAAGAATCCAGAGAAAGAAAATATGGTGTTCACCCGTAAAACCGACTGCTGTCGTAATTCTGGGAGCCAATGGCTGTAGAACACACTGATTTGCGTTCGACAATATGGCCCGTGCTGTTGAACGCTCATCACTCAAGACCGGGAGAGAACAAAGAACTAGTAGAATGAAAGGAGGAATTTGCTAATTGCGCAGACGATAATTCGGATCATTTTATGTCTATGAGGAAGGCGAAGGCGTCCTAACGAAGGAGAAGATTACCTAACTCGCCAGAAAGTCTACATACTTTCGATGTCAGAGATGGAAATTATTCTAAGAAACAAATCATTCCAGCAAAGCATATTTGATGTATATACGTACGCTCAAATTTTTCTCCTCGTCAAGAGGCGAAGTTTCCTGATGTTCTTCTGTAGGAGCTAACTCTTCCCAACTTGTACCGACATTAGGAGGAGACCTGGAATATTGCTGCATACACTAACACTACCTTGAGCAAAGTTTCCTTATAAAGTACTCTAATATCTCTTTCTCGACTTCCTCTTTAACCGGCGATTCAGCCTTTTTCCATCTGAATTTTCTCAATTTCTGTCTGCTTAAAAATACGACAACCCTGAATACCTTAATTTCGCTTTTCTCATTTTAGTAGCTGCTGGGCGAAGAGCAACAGCAACATTTTCAAACTCTTCTATCTCTTCTTTGCATCCTCGCTAAACAGAATGTGTTGAAATGCTCTGGAAATTTGTACTACATAAAGA